GAGATCATGCCACTGCACCCGTCTCAAAAACAAGAACAACTTGGGAGTTCAGAGTTAGTTCCTCTAAGGTTTCAAGGAGGAGGAGCAAACCAGATGGGCCTTGAGGGATGAATAGGAGTTTGCCAATTACAGAAACAAAGGCATTTCAGCCACAGAGAACAAATGTGCAGAGGTCTCAGAGCCATCCCAGAGAACGGTGTGCGTGAGACTAGTGCGTGGAAATCCTGCATGACAGAGCAGGAGCTCATACCCTGCCCCCAAAGCAGAGACAGGCAGAATCTGGGGCCACGGTGCCTGAAGATTCACTCTCTTTGTTCAGCCCTGAGGAGTCCCCCAGCTCTGTCCAGCCCATTCACCATGGCCTTCAGCCTAGGCTCCACCTTCAATGGCGACCTATCCACACCCAGCTCCTCCTACATCAACCTCCACTCTGTTCCCCTGGCCAGTAACTCCCCCATGGTGAGTCCTCAATGGGAACTGTGTGTCTAGCACTCCCAGTGGGATCCGGAAATTAAAGACTGAGAGAAGAACCCAGCTACACCAAGGAAAGACAGACATAAGGGAATGGCTGAACAAAGGCAAGTGGAGAAGATGATCTGAGGGTCTCAATGGCCCCACAGCTTCATATAAATCAGCTCTTTTGGGTTCCCCTACGTCTTCAGAGAATTAAAGTGGAAGCCTGTGGACGTATATGGATGACAAGAAAGATGGATGCCACAGCAGATGTTAGTCCTGTCCTGCCTCTGGAAGTGGCCCCCCACGAGGAGAGGAAGGGACGCGGATTCCTAGAGCTTCCATCCCCCTCCCACCAGCACCGAACAGCACCTGGGAGCTGAAGTCGTGCTGCTGCAGCTGGCGGCCCTCCCGCAGGTCCCAGCAGCGCACCGTGTTGTCCAGGCCCCCTGTCCAGAGCCGAGTGCCATAATCAGAAATGTCAATACAGCTGGCGCCGTCTGTGTGGCCCTGGAACTGCCTGGAGGAAGAAGGGCCCAGGCGTCCATCCCGGAATTGGAGCTGCCCCAGCAACCTCCCGGGTCAGTCCTCCACCCCACTGCACAGAGAGTGGCCAGGGGCTTGCCCGAGGTCCCAGCGCACCTGACCATCGTCTGGTTCTGCAGGTCCCAGACCACAATGTTGCCATCGCTGCAGCAGGAGAAGCAAACCTTGGCGTCGGGGCTGACGGCCAGGGCGTAGCAGGCTGGGGCCGAGGAGGTCAGCTCGGCCTTGATACGGGGGGTGGGCGCTGCCAGGTCCCAAATGGACAAGGTGCTGGCCTCACCGCCCACGATTAGACTCCGGCCATCCGGCAGCAACTTGCAGGAGCGAATGTAGTTGTCTCGGTTCTGGGTCCAGGAAGAGAATCAGGCTGGGGCTTGGTCCCAGGTGAGGTCTCCAGGAGCCTGGCTTCAGGTGGGGGTCTCTGGAGCCTGCCATCCCTACCCTGATGGGCCAGCAAGCCCTGCCCCTTCGGCCCACACACACTGTTCCATTACACTGTGAGCTCTGTTCTTCACCTACAATCCCTGCCCATGGTAGGCCTGCAAACCTTAACCTGATTGGCCAGTGAGCCCCATTCCTTTGGCCTGCAAACCCCACCCCATTTGACAAGCTCCACCCTCCACCTGTAAACGCCACCCATGGTTGGCCTGAAAACCCTGTCCTGGTTGGCCTGCAAGCCCTACCCTAATTGACTGGTGAGCCCCACCCCTTCGGCCTGCAAGCCCCGCCCCATCTGACTATAAGCTCCGCCCTTCACCTATAAGCCCCACCCATGGTTGGCCTGCAAACCCTGTCCTGGTTGTCTTGCAAGCCCAACCTTGATTGGCCAATGAGTCCCGCCACTTTGGCCTGCAAGCCCCGCCCCATCTGACCATAAGCTCCGCCCTTCACCTGTAAGCCCCACCCATGGGTGGCCTGCAAACCCTATCCTGATTGGCCAGTGCCCACCACTTTGGCCTGCAGGCCCCGCCCCATCTGACCATAAACTCCGCCCTTCACCTGTAAGCCCCACCCATGAGTGGCCTGCAAACCCTATCCTGATTGGCCAATGAGCCCCACCACTTTGGCCTGGCCTCATGTGACTACAAGCTCCACCCTTCACCTGTAACCCCACCCACGGCCGGCCTGCACACACCGCTCTATTTGAATATAAGCTCCACCCCTCACCCGTGAGTCCCGCCCACTGTCCCACCCTGCCCTCACCAGGCAGTCGAGCTGGGCCACAGGTGTCTTGGCCCCAGGCTGGCCCACGTCCCACACCTTCACACAGCCCTTGCCACCCGTGTACACGTGCTGCGTGGAGCCGCTGATGGTGACCGCACAGACCACCTCGCCGTGTGCCAGCGTGTGCAGCTGTCGGGCGTGCCGTGGGATGCCCGCGCCCACCAGTGCGTCGGAGGGGAAAGGCACCGGCTGCATCTGCCCGTCTGCAGACACGTGGAAGGAGTAGGCCCTGGAGAGAAAGCCTGGGCATGACCCAGCCCTGGGAACGCCCCTCCACACCCCAACCTGGGAGACGCCTTTGTCCTGCCTGGCACGGGATGATGTATTCTTTTTTTTCTTTTCTTTTTTTTTTTTTTGAAAGACGGGGTTTCACCATGTTGGTCAGGCTGGTCTTGAACTCCTGACCTCAGGTGATCCGCCCACCTTGGCCTCCAAAGTGCTTGGATTACAGGCATGAGCCACCACGCCCGGCCGATGATGTATTCTTTTTACTTTTTTGTTTTTTTTGTTTTTGTTTTTTTGAGATGGAGTCTCGCTCTATCGCCCAGGCTGGAGTGCAGTGGCACAATTTCGGCTCACTGCAACCTCCGCCTCCTGGGTTCCAGCTATTCTCCTGCCTCAGCCTCCTGAGTAGCTGGGATTACAGGCATGCACCACTGTGCCTGGCTGTTTTATGTATTTTTAGTAGAGACAAGGTTTCACCGTTTTGGCCAGGCTGGTTTTGAGCCCCTGACCTCAAGCGATCAGCCCACCTCAGCCTCCCAAATTTCTAGGATTACAAGCATGAGTCACCAAGTCCGGCCTGATGCGTTTTTGTTTGAGATGGAGTCTCTGTCACGCAGGCTGGAGTGCAGTGGCACTATCTGGGCTCACTGCAACCTCCACTTCCCAGGTTCAAGTGATTCTCCTGCCTCAGCCGCCAAAGTAGCTGGGATTACAGGCACGCGCCACCACACATTGTTAATTTCTTTGTATTTCTAGTAGAGTCAGGGTTTCACCATGTTAATCAGGCTGCTCTTGAACTCCTGACCTCAAATGATCTGCCCACCTTGGCCTCCCAAAGTGTTGGGATTGAGCCACGGCGCCCGGCCCACACAAGAGACTTTCTAGAAGGGGAGCAGGGAAACCCCAACCACACAGGGTAAGACCTCAAAGGAGGTGGGGGGCTGCCCCAGGTTCCCAGGCAGGGAGCCCCACCCTGGTACTCACGGCTTTCCTCCGGGGATGCTGGGTAGCGAGGAAGAGACGGATGACCCTCGGAGATGCGGGTGAGACTCAAATGCCATCTGTCAGAATGCCAGAGGGGGTGTCAGTGAGGCAGGTGACTCTGACTCCAACCCACCTCTGTGCTGTCCCATGCCCCCATTTATCAGCCCCTACTAAGGAAGCAGAACTGCCTTCGACTCTGCCTGTCACACTCCAGGTGGGAGGGCTGAGGTTTCTAAGGGCACCGACCCCAACATCTCTCTGTCCAGGAAATCCTAGAACTCCAGCGTTCCAAGGATCCTGAAGACTTCTCCATCGAATGCCCAGACTGGCTCTAGAACAGGAGTCTGCAAACTGCAGCCCCCCAGACAAATCTGGTCCAGTACCTGTTTCTGTATATAGCATCCCAAAGCCAAGGCTCTACTGCTCCTTTTCATGCAGCTTAATCACCGTTGCTTTTTTCCGCAGTCACAAGTCCTGCTTTGTATTAAGCTTGGGAGACTACTGAGACCCCCAGATCATCTTCCCATGCACACTTGCTGAGCCAGGGCTCCCTTCCCTTTCTGCACTCCCTTGTCTTTCCTTGTATAGTTGGTTTCTCCTCCCAGCCCCCAGCCCCTGGGCCCTGCTGACACCTCCTGTACCCCCAACCCAAGGACTCACCATGGGGGAGCGTCCATATACCACAGAGCTGCTGACCTGCGGGGACAGGTGGAGGCTGACGTAGGAGCTGGGCACGGAGAGGTCTCCGTTGAGGGTGCTGTGGGAGCCTAGGCTGAACGACGTGGTGAAGGGACTGGACAGAGTCAGGGGGCTCCTCAGGGCTGAGAGGGAAGAGTCGGGGACACATCTTCAGACACCCCGGACTCAGATCCCGCCTCCCACTGCCTTGGGAGCTCCCTGGCCTTTCATTCAGAGTTTCCATGCTCTGGTCCCACATGGGCCACAGCCTGGGACACCTCCAGACCTCTGCCCATACCGTTCCTCCAGTGGACATGACTTTCTCTTTCTTTTAATTGACAAACTCCTACCCATCCTTCAAAACCCAGGCCCAATGTCCATTCACATCTCAGAAACATCCTTGAGCCTCCTCATTGCCAGCCTCCAGCCTTGCCCATCTTGGGCTCCTCCTCCTGTACCAGCCCTGATTATACAGGGCTGTGAGTGCTGGGGTCTGGGTCTCGTCCCTTGTCGCCCAGGAGTTCCATGGGGGCGGGATTCAAGGCCAACTTCTTTCAGGGACCCCAGAACCAGCACAGGCCCTGGTCGTAAGGCAGAAAAGATGAGCATTGTCATTCCCCAGGTGACTGATGGGGAAACTGAGGCTCGGAGAGGCTAGGTCACTTGCCTAAGGTCACCCAGCTGGTGAATGCCCAGGCCTGTTCTGAAACCCAGGCCTGTCTGACCCCAAAGCCTGTCTTTTCAGTGCACTAGGCTGAAACCCCAGCCAAGTCACTTCCACTCTCCAGGCCTCAGTTTCCCTACCCGTCAAGCTGAGACAATGAGGAACCACCCACAGGGAGGCAGCGTCGAACCTGAAGTCACGAAGGGACCAAGGCCATGAATGCCAAGCCTGGAATCCCAGCCTCCTGCCTCGCCAGCCCCTTTTACTAGCTGTCCCCAGAGACAAGGCCTGCCCCAGACAGGTACCAGCAGGCAAGGTGCTCACCGATGCTGTCCGTGGAAGGCGCTGGCTTGGCAGCGAGCTGGCAGAGGTGACTGGCCGAGCTGGGCCCGGGGGTGGACGCTTCCTGGGGTGGGGAGGAGTCACAGGACTTGGAGGCAGGAGTGCTGGCAGGAAGGTCATTCTGCAGAAAAAGGGCAGGACTGAATGGCACCAGGCATCTGGTGTCTTGTGGCCCACCAATCTGATCAGAAACTGGAGGAGCAAGATGCGGGGCTCACGCCTGTAATCCCAGCACGTTGGGAGGCCAAGATGGCTAGATCACCTGAAGCCAGGAGTTCGAGACCAGCCTGGCCAACACCCCTTCTCTACTAAAAATGTAAAAACTGGCCGGGCGTGGTGGCAGGTGCCTGTAATCCCAGCTACTCGGAAGGCTGAGGCAGGAGAATCACTTGAACCTGGGAGGCAGAGGTTGCAGTGAGTGGAGATTGTGCCGCTGCCCTCCAGCCTGGCGACAGAGGGAGACCCACTCTCCAAACAAAAACAAAACCAAACAAACAAAAAAAAACTGTACAAGGGAAGGGAGCAGGTATACTAGGGCAGCCCAGTGCTCAGAGCGCCCTGCAGGTGCTCTCACACCAGGGAAACGAGCCCCAATGAGGATCCCAACGCCAACTGACTGAACCAGGGGGAAGTGTGAGTCCATCCCCACCAGAAGGCTAACTGGGCACCTGAGCAGGATGGGCAGGCAGCATCTGCCCACGAGGGTGCACATGTGTGCACGCTGCAGTGAGCCAACTCACGCCTCCACCATAAGAATGTGCGTGCATGGCCGGGCGCGGTGGCTCACGCCTGTAATCCAGCACTTTGGGAGGCCGAGGCGGGTGGATCACGAGGTCAAGAGATCGAGACCATCCTGGTCAACATGGTGAAACCCCGTCTCTACTGAAAATACAAAAAATTAGCTGGGCATGGTGGTGCGTGCCTGTAATCCCAGCTACTCAGGAGGCTGAGGCAGGAGAATTGCCTGAACCCAGGAGGTGGAGGTTGCGGTGAGCCGAG